ACGTATTCCCTCCAATTCGTGATAGTTGGGGTCATAACCTATCAAATGAACTATAAAATACATTATGCAAATGTGGACCAATTTCGAGATATTTAGGTTTAACTATTTTTTTCAAAAAATCCCAAAAGTCTGGTGTCAAAAATTTCTAAAAAAAACTTACGGCTGTATTATTTTCATTTTATTATTTTTACTTAATGAAAACCTGGATACTTATTTATCAATACTACAGTGTGCAAAAAGTCAACATTTTCGAAGTAACGCTACTAAATAAATAGTCATTATTTTTTGGTAAAAAAATTTGCAAAGCTTTATCTTCATACCATATCTAATTCCTGTCGTAATCTGTTCTTCTATGCATATAACTTAAACAAAATAATTTGTTTAAGTATATGCATATAATACGTCCCTTTTTTAATTTTGTACATAGTTTGTACTTTGTTCATGCTTTTCTTTTGTTCATGTATTGTATGTAAATATCTTTTTCTTTCGCTCAAGCAAACCCAAACGGCTCTTTTCAAAGCCACCGAAGGTATGCAATTGCATATGTCATACAATCTATCTAGCGGTAGTATGCCTTCTGTGTGCTTTGTTAAACACGTCCTCGACAGCACTGAATATGAATCTCAAGATTGGAGACAGATCAAGATTCGTGTATTTTTATAAAACTGCTAAAAACAACAAAAACACTTGGGCTTACCCTAGTTTGGAGCCCTAGCTTTGCCACTGATCACCAGTCATTATATATTACGAAATCTCAGTTCGCCAAAATTATGTAACAATACAAGATTATTTATAAAACAACTTCTCAACAACATTATTGAGGCAGTAATTTAAAATGGCAAAGAAAAAGGAAAATCCGTTTTTATACCACGAATTCCATTAATTTTAAATTATTTTCCACTCTGTTTCAAACGGTTACAGTTTACTCTACGATTTCTCCAATATTGTGGAGTGAATTTGGGAGAATCCTGTTTTTCACATGGTCACTATGTACCTAGCTTTTGCGCGGTTGGATATTCAAACGGTTACAGTTTATTCTACGATTTCTCCAATATTGTGGAGTGAATTTGGGAGAGTCCTGTTTTTCACATGGTCACTATGTACCTAGTTTTTGCGCGGTTGGATAGAATTTTTTTTAATTCGTGTATGCACCAGAATACAAGACAGTAACTGTACTGTATAAGAATGTATTGTAATATGCGTATTCAGTACATGACTATATGTAAAGTATTTTTGTATAGTGAATAAAAATTTGTAAGTAAGAAAACAAAATTTAAACACTTAAAAATCATGTGTTCTTGATTTAAAAAGTTTGTTAATTTTAATTTAGTAAAATATACATACATGAATATTATATATTCGACAAAAAATAACCCAGCAAAGCGGGTTTTCAAAGCTAGTTCTTATTTTATAACTAAAATCGAACATATTCAAAGTACACAAAATACTTCCATTTTTTCGTTTAAACGTTTAAAATACAGAGATACGATTTAAAGAACACAACAAACGTTGGTATATTACGACAATTTTAGTTCCCGGTACGAACAATGGGGGTGCTTGAAATCGGTACATTTTGTAGGGTATAGCCAGTCCAGCGTACTCATATATAGAGGTCAGTGATGAAGAGACATGTTCTTTGGCATCTATGTTAAATAAAACTACCTACTAATACTGTGTTTTTGTAAAATTTGACACTACTCTCATGGACCAAAGTCAGGTGTTTACAGTAAAAAGCCATCAACCAAAAAAATGGACGTTAGCTTTGTGGTTTATGCCGACATTACACATTTTTCCAACATCAAATGGTTGCATGAAACTGATTACAATCCTTGATAATCTTGCTGATTACGAAAAAAGTGGATACTTAATTTTGTTGACGGCTTCATGGCGCAGTGGCTTAGCATTGAGTTGCGGCGTTAAGGGCTGCGGGTTCGAATCTCGCACGGAACAAGTATTTGTAGTATGTCTGGGACTATAGTGTAATACAGAAAATTCAACAACCTTTATTTATCAAAGTCCACTTTAAACCATTATTTAAGGGATAGAACAGAGCAGCAATTTTCAAAAGCTGTCAAGTTTTTGAAAATTGCTGCTCTGTTCTATCCCTTAAATAATGGTTTAAAGTGGACTTGTATTATGTATTATCTTAAAAAAATAATGATAGAAAAGTGTACAAACAGGCATGCGACTCACATGATGGTACGTAACCGTTGCCCATCTATAACTGATACACCAGAGCAAATACGGGATGTGTTGCCTGGATTTAAGAAAAACACTGGTGGTAGCCGATTCCTCAATCGTGTGAAGAATAGAACTTGACTAAGATCCTTGTAGCCAATGCTACAATAAATATAATAAGTTCCAGCTTTAATAATTATTGATTCAAGATCCAGGATATTCAAAATTGCAGTAGAACAGCTTTTACTTATAAACATGCATTCCGTTATCACATAAGCTTTAATCTTTTGAGCGCCAAAGTCACATATACTTGACCAGCACTTGCAGCTCCTGTGCGCCAACGATGTCTATAGTCAACAAAAAACATGGCCCACAAAAATATATGAAATATAGATATTGAAAAATTGTTACTGGCATTTAAATTCTAAATTCCTCAATACAGATTTTCTCAGTAACATGTGAGTATAAAAAAACAAGTGTCTTAGGGCCACAAATACTGAGAAACATTGAACTACAAATCATGGATTTTTATCCAATCAAATACTATGTCCAGCACGCCAAAGTCGTCTATGATTGACCGCTAGTGTTGTAATTCGGGAGGCATAAATTTCTTGAAAACTATTAAAAATTTAACTCAAACGTGTTATTTTTATCAATTTTTATTGATATTTGAATAAAACAAAAGGTACATGAATAAAAAGATGTCATCACATCAACTTCGCATAATAAATCTAATATCTAAATCTCAACTCTGTAGTGTATTTTTTTGATTCTTGCACATCCTTAGCGCGTCATCGATTATTATCAGTTCACTGGGCGCCATGGTCAAGGATAGACGACACCCTGATGACGTCATAACCGAATAGCGGGAAAAGTAGTGCAGTGCAACAAGAATATTTTTTTAGAGATTAAAATAATTCTTATCATGTTAATCTACTTTTATGATATAACTAGTAGATTTTTTTCTCTAAAAAAGCGAAATTGTAAGTGAATTGTCTTTAGAAAAATAAATCTCTTAAACCATATTTCAGCATAATCCATTTGAAAGGTAGGTGAGCCGTGAGAGTAGACTACAATTTATAAATCAACCTATTAAGGCCTAAAATATAATATCGACTTACTAACTTTCAGCATTACAATCGTTCCGAATAGTATTGTGAGTAAGCTAAAAATCGATCTAACAGTAAAGTGTTAAGATCTAAATAGCGTCTCTAAATAGTACTAAGCGGCTCTTATGTTCTCGGCTGTGACTTTCTTTTTTGTAACCAACACTTTCGCGTCTTACGGCGTAGCCATACTAGAGTTACCTACCTAAATAAAAAATGGATCTTTAACGGAAAATAGCGACGCATAAATAAAAATATGAACATAATTAAGCACTCGTATATTTTTAGTGACTGTTTAGAAAAAAAAGACACGACTACGATTCTTACGATTTGAGAGTAAGAATAAAATTTTTCGGTATCTCGCTTAATTTCCGAGATATCGATACTCAGAAGTCGAATACTTAAACCGAATAGGCATGCCCCGACTCCATGTAATTTTGTTTGCTTTACCAAATTAAAATTTTATTCTTACTTTTCGGCGTATCTCATCGATATCTATGCGAATCCGCCTTCAAATCGTGGCGCCGTAGGAACCGCAGAAGGTCCAGAAAAAAATATAGTCTCATAAAATTTTGAAGTCGATACACGTGTGACATGTCCTCGACTCTATTCACCTGTTACTCCCTATTTTTTCCAGACGGTAAAAAAGTCATCCAGCATAAAAATTATGGGAGATAGCACAAGATTAAACAAAACATTCCAGATTACAAGTAGTCATTTATTGCTTAAAAATACTAACAAAACAAGTCATTGTATGTTATCGATATATCTACTCTTGTCAACACTATTTTTTCGTACGGTATTTTTGTTTACTTTGTGCTTTGGCATACTGGACCCGGGATTGCGTTTGCGGCGTGGCGCACAAAAGGTTAAATTTATCGATAATGGATCTGATTTCTTCTGTAAGAAATATAAAAATGATGTGTTTAACATATTTAGGATGATAGAACAGTCTGGTACAAATATGTTATGTATTTTTAATTTAATTTGATTGTTATCTGTTTTGTTGTTCATATAATAAATATATGTGGTAGTATTGTTGCGCGCCTATGTTGACGTCTGTTACCTGGCACTAGCGCCATCTAGTATCGGGGACCAGAGAGAGGAGGGCTTCCTAGAAAATGTCAATCTTGAACTTTCCACCAACAGCGCCATCTAGTATCGAACAGAAGAATTAAGCTTTCTCGAAGCCCCACACTCGAACTTTCTGCGCCTGGTCGGTCGACGCACGTATTTACTGGAATATTCTGGATGTTTCGGTGTAAAAGGTTAAAGCCGCTGCAACCAGCGATCAGGGCAGTATTGAATTTGGCGAGATTAAGCGAAGCTTCGGAGCGAAATAAAGTGAATCAGTGTGATTAATTATTAGTGTTTTAAGTTTTAATTGGTGTTCGGTAATAAAAGTGTAAATTTTGGTAATAAAATCGGCAGTTTTTAATTGTCACGAACCTCAAGCACGTAACATTATATTTATTATATGTAATATTCTTACACCGCCACTACACAGTCATGTCATCCTGTGGTTGTCATAAGAGATGACAGAGGCAAACATTGCAGGAGATGGGCAGCAGCGTCTTTCTAATAATGACTAAAAATAAAAAAACTGTGGTTGACAAAATGTTGCCGAGCGTGGCAACTCTGGCAGATATCCCTCCTATGAGGCAATCTATGGGGAGGCCTATGTTTAACAGTGGACTTTAATATGCTGTAACAGTATTAGTGTAATGTTAAAAAATCATGTATCACACGCGGCAGAAGTGAATCTTCAGAAATTTTATCTGAATGATTTAATTTAATTGTTTGTAATATCGCTATCTACTTCATTCTATATGTAAAGACATATTATCGAAAAATAATATATTAACTCTCAATATGGTACATAAAATAGTCGCTAGACACTACTAATTTAGGGCCGATCCTTATTTGCCGTTCACAGTTCGTTCTCGGTCTGATTTATTATATTATTGGAATGGGATTCAAGTGAAACGTGACTGTTATGGATAGTATGAATGCACACACATAATTTTTACTTGATAATATTTTATCAGACCGAGAACGAACTGTGAACGGCATTATAATGAGAATCGGCCGTTAATATCATGTTTTGTCTCATTCTCCTGCAGGCTGTTATCCTATAGAACTATAGATGTATGTATGTTAGTCTCTTTTTAATGTCGTTTTTTCGTTTCACCGAGTTTCAAATCACAATAATTCTAAGAAAGTTTTCACTTTAAACATGTTGATGTATTGTGGCGAAGTAAAAAAATAACTCGATAAGGATTACATGTAATCTATCTAATATATAAAAATTTATATTTGTTTGTTCGTATGTCATGCGCTGCTATACCGTTCATCAGATTGCGCTAAAACTTTTTGAACTTATTGCTTACACTTACGCGAAGTTATAGGCATAGTTAGATGCGGTTGGTGGCGCTGTTGTAGAATTCTGATATCACTCAATAAAAAATGATTGTATTGTATGGTGTGGTGCAGGAAGCGGCGGCGCGCGCACACGCAGGCGCCCGGCAGCTGCCCGAGGGCAGGTAGGAGCGCCGCGCGGCGAGCCGCCTGCGCCAGCGCCGCCCCGCCCGCCCCCCGCCGGCCGCACCCCGCCACCCGCACCCGCACCGACACCCGCCACACCGCACCGCGCTGGAGCGTCGCGGCCACCGCCCTTGGGAACGGTGGTCGCTCAGCCGCGACCACACATGCGGACCGTTCACACGGGCGGGGAGGAAACGACTCCCGACGGCGAAGCGTCACACGGCAGGGCGATTGCTAATGTTCAATTAGCGATGTATTCGTAAAAAATTTTATATGCGATGTAAAATTTTTTCGTGTAGTTTACCATAGTCGTAAACGATCCGAAGTGAGCAGGCTCGCGGTGACATTCGATGACGGCACGCACCCGATCCGAGTTCGTTGCCCGCAATCGCAAGGGTCACAGGTTAGACCGGTGACGACGCACCACTAACTGGACTTTCGTTGTTTTTGCTAACACTTATTAGTGGATGCTTATGTTTGTTTTGTTGGCTTTCGAAATATCTGTGTGATTTCCTTTATTATAGAGAATACATAATAGTTACGGAATGTTTTAATCGATTTAACTACGTAGGGTTGAAAACTATGATCATTGGATAAGCTGCTTAAAATAAATTTACACGTTTTGGTTTGTCACATATATGAGGAGTATTTTTTAATTTATTAACCCCAATTATCATAAAAGGCTCTTTTGCCTTTTTAACTATTTAGTTGTAATATTTAATAAATATTGTAAATTAAGTTAAATATGTACAATAATTTATAGACATTGCATATGTATAAACTATTTCATGTAATGCCTTAATTACTAAAGTCATGGGCTCCTCTCTTTAGTTGCATTATTTGTAACAATAAAAAAGTTACACTAAAATTGTCACTAGCTACTCAAATGAAGTGCTTGTTAGTTTGATTATTATACTCCAACATTACAAAATGTTTGTATGTACCCTAATTAAATTCTATAATATCTATACATTTTTCATTTCTTACCTGATTTAAGTTCGTAATAATAATTAACAAATCGACGAGAGCAACCTTAAGTATTACATAAATTGATGTAATGTTTAAAGTTGCTCTCTTCTCACTAAATGACTAGATAATCACCGCTCTATCTTATATATGTACAATTACAGGAAAGGCCGTTTCGAGAATATCTGTACAGTGTAGTAGCGGCGTAAGATATCCACTACCCCCAGTGCCGGATTAACCACGTAGCAAGAGTAGCAATTGCTACGGGTCCCGGGCAAAAGGAGCCCCACGTATCCAAACTTGCTCATCACCGCCTAAGCGTAATTTTTGAGTGAAACTTATTATTAAGTATATTGAATTATTTGATGTCACAAAAACATAAAACGTAAAGCCTTTTTCGACTAAGGCAATTCACGAACAATCGGTAACCGACTATTTTGTTGGTGAATAAAACAATATACAGGGTGTTTGGTGGGTGGTCCGACAAACTGAAATGGGAGATAGATGGGTTCGTTAGAAGCATATTTTCTTAGTAAATTTTTTTTTCCATCTCTTACCATTTTTTTTTTAATTGAATTTTTAAATTTTTTTTGTAATTATCCCAATTTTCTAGTATTTTGGTTCAATAACTTCTACTATTTCTAGTTTTCTACCATTTATTTTTATTTTTCCCAAGTATAATGATTTGTATATAATTAAAAAAAAAAGATTTAACGCCCAAAAAGCATAAGAAAAAATACTTACGATACATTGAAAGTGAACAAACGAGAAAAATAATTGTAAACCTCTAAGTTTTCTCCAGCCCCAGAAAAATAAATAAAATTGTTGAGTAATTTAAAATGGCCTTAAAAACTTTCCTGATTTACCCTCTTTCTATCGGTATATCATATGTCAAATAAAACTTTAGATTATTTAACAAAATCATTGATAATTGAATGTGAGGGCGGGGGAATTAAAATATTTCCGCTTAGGACCCGCGGGTCAGCTACAGCTACCAGCTCATACGAGCGCCTATTATTGTATTTAATACAAAAAAGTTAATGGTTGTGTCTACACTACACTAACCAGGGTCTTGCTCAATAATAATAAAAAAATAAGTACTAGTAATTTTTTACTAAATTTACAAATTTTGTTCAAAATATCCTCCTACATTATGCAGACACGCTCGATATCTTCGACGTATTTCAGTCGTGGTAGTTTTTAATCGTATTTCTTCTTTCATAATATGAAAAGCAGCATTTATTTTTGCAATCAACTCTTCTTTTGTTTGTATTTCATTTTCGTATACAATTTCCTTTGCTCGGCCCAAGACATAAAAATCCAGTGGAGTCAGATCTGGGGATCTCGCAGGCCATTCGATAGGTCCGAGTCTCCCTATCCACGTGTTCGGAAATACCGCATCTAAATATTCCCTCACGGTTCTGCGATAGTGGGCAGGGCAGCCATCGTTTTGAAATATTATTCTTGTGTCCTCATTCATTATTGGTACCTCGCTCATTAGTTCCGGGAGATCATTTTGTAAAAAATGTAAATAATTATCTCCGTTTAAATTATCAGGTAGATAATGAGGACCGATTAAATATCTTCCGATCACACCTGCCCACACGTTAACACTAAACCGTGTCTGATGCGATATTTGTCTCGTTTTACGTGGGTTTTCATCTTTATCTGACCAATAATGTAAATTATGTTGATTGAAAATGCCTTCTCGTGTAAACTTCGACTCATCGGTCCATAAAATGCTCTTCAAAAATTGATTATCGTCGACATCTTTGTGCAGTATAAAGCTGCAAAATTCTGTACGCCGTGCAAAATCTCCTTCCACGATACCTAGCACAAAAAATAGTGTAAGTTACTTTACTCACTTTAAAATGTATGAAATAATTAATAATGTATAAGATAAACAGTAATTTTATAAAAAGAAGAAATAATAAGTACCTTGCACTGGGGTGAGGTGAAATGGGTGCTTGCAATGGTTGCGGAGAACCGACCACACTTTCCATACAGAAAAGCCGAGTTCAGTCGCTACTTTTCTAATGCTTATAGTGGGATCATCGTCAAAAGCCGCCAAGATACGCTCATCCACAGCAACATCAAGTGGTCTTCCACGTACTCCTGGTTCCCTGTGTTGCAATTTGCCAGCTTCACGTAGCCTTCTATAAGTATTTGCAAACGTATCATGGCTAGGCAACCTTCTCGTGGGATACAGCTCTCCATAAAGTCTACGTGCTCTGTGGCCGTTATTTAGGGCCCGGCCATAAACCAAAAGCATATCAGCGTATTCCTGGTTAGTAAAATAAGTGCGTTGAGCCATAATCACTGCAGTGTTTTGAATTAAGTTTGAACACTACCGTCCGAAAACAGAAACAAATAACAAACAAAAACTTAACAATCAACGAAACAAAAACTAAACTCAACGAAACTGTTCAACAATGAATGTCGAAAAAGAACTCGCAAGTAGCTTCAGAGACAGTCAAATCACGACTAAATTAAATAACAACAGAAGCAGGTAGCTGATCCGCGCGTCGTAACTTCGCCTGTACCACCAGAAAGAGACAACATCTACCTGGCTCGCACACGCATAAATGAAACCATAAAAATATTTACACGGGTAAAAACCAGTTTAGGGTGCCCTGGCAATTTTTACGGAACTTGTAATATTTTAATTCCCCCCGTCCTCACATTTGATTATCAATAATTTTGTTGATAATTTAAAGTTTTATGTAACATGTGATATACCGATAGAAAGAGGATGAAATAGAATTTTTTTTATGGCCATTTGAAATTACTCAACATATTTATTTATTTTTTTAAGGGGCTGGAAACTTAAGGGCTTACAATTTTTTTTCTCGTTTGTTCACTTTCAATGTGTCGTAAGTATTTTTTCTTATGCCTTTTAGGCTTTCAATCTTTCTTTTAATTTAAAAAAAAAATATATTTCTTAGGGAAAATAAAAAAACATGGTAGAAAACTAGAAATAGTAGAAGTTATTGAACCAAAATACTAGAAAATTAGGATAATTACAAAAAAAATTTAAAAATTCAATTAAAAAAAAATGGTAAGAGATAGAAAAAAAAATTTACTAAGAAAATATGCTTCTAATGAACCCATCTATCTCCCATTTCAGTTTGTCGGACCACCCACCAAACACCCTGTATATTTGAATAAAATAAATATTTATGAACGCATCCAAAGATATCGAAAGTTGTCAATTCGTTTTCATTCACGGAGGTTAGAGAATCGCTGTAGAAAATAGTGTCACAGAAATATGGACAAAATAAGTGAAGCGCTGCGATAGCTAAGTTGTCTCAACAAAAGCGAGCTGTTGTGCGCTAGTTTGAAATGATTATATCAAAAAAAAAGAAAATAACGAAATTATTATTATTATTTATTGATAAATAAATTATAAATTGTTTTTTATAATTTTAATTATTATAAATAATATAAATTATTATTAATATATACTATGACGACTCCGTGGCGCAGTGGCTTAGCAATGAGTGGCTGCGCTGGGAGTCGCGGGTTCGAATCCCACACGGAACAAGTATTTGTATGGCCTGCAATTAATTGTTCCGGGTCTGGTTGTTTGTCCTTGTGCAATTTATGTTTGTAAACTGCCCCTACGATACTACGATACAGGAGAAAATCCTAGTGTAGGGGTAGGTAAAGTTTTTTTAAAGAAAAAGAAAAGAATTATTTGTTATTATAATTATTTTATTTATAATATTTCACCATTTTTAATATGTTTTTGTCAAAAATTAAAAAAATTACTTTGCAGATTATACTTTCCGACGGCAGCGCGGCTATCAATTCTACAAATTTTCAGGGACAGGCTGGCTATGCTTTAGCACGTAACGATCGTTCTCCTGTTCTTTACCCTCCATGTTTTCATTTCTAAAATTCTAATTCCTATTATTTATGATTCTAATCTCACCTGCGGAATGTGGAACTAACTAACTAAATATGTGATGTGAACAAAGACTCGCCGCCATTGCAGTGCATTAGTCCTTTCTTAACCTTTTGAGCGCCACGCCAAAAACTCACTACCGTGTCCTGTACGCCAAAGCGAAAAGTAAACAAAAATACCTACGAAAAAAAACAGTGCTGCCAAGAGTTGATATATCGATAACACAAAATAACTTGTTTTTGTTGGTTTTTTATACAATAAATGACTCTTTATAATCGGGTATGTTTTATTTAATCTTGTGTTGTCTTCCACTCTTTTTATATTTGTACTTTGTACATAAATAAAAAAACAAACAATAACAATAAAATAGTAGTAAACCACAACACTACTCTCCATCGTGATGACGTCACTGTCACGACTGGACGACAACGGCGTAGCTGACCTTTCTTTTTGAAACTTTCTTAGAGATGTAACCGTGTCGCACGTTGTGTATCGATTTCAAAATCGATCTAACCAAAATATACAGACATCGATTCAAAATATTTTATGGCGAGGCGTAGGCCAAGTGAATCACAGAAGAAAAGTCACGCTCTTATGACAATGGAGGTTTCATATTATGCTGATGTTGCTAAATGATTTTGAGATTGAGTAAGAAAATCGCACAACACAAAATGAAAAATTGCTCTTCATACCTTAAGTAAAAAAAAACACATTTATTATTTGTAATTTCATATTATTAAAATAAAAAGGTACATAATTATTCACTAATCAACAATTGTATATAGGTAATTATTCGCACTAGGAAAATCAGTCTTATAATATTAAAATCTTGGTCATGGAATAAAAAATAGAGTATGGTCAGAAGTGTTTTCTGTACGTTAAGTTATAGCGTTTCTATTTAACGTACAAAGTTTTTCTTTCTTTAAAATTGTTGAGGCGTTTCCTTAATAATTGCTTACTATGACTGATAAACGATTTATAATATGTGGATGTTCGAAATTCAACTCCAAATTTCTCGCAGTGCTCAAGAAAGGTAGGATAAAGATATTTCAGTTCTGCATGATCCAACGTTGGAAAATAATGATGAAGTGCATGATAACCAAACCGTGTAAGTGATTTAAAATGGTTGTCATCATACTCAACTCTCTCAACTAAAGTGTCCAGTTGATGAAGACCCCAGTCATAATACATGTCTCTGTAAAAATATAATATTTTGATTAAAAAAAAAATACAATTCACGAGAAAACTTGTCATGAAGAAAAATGTATGTAATTATTATCATTGTAGATTGTATGTGTGAGAAATACTTTGATTACTGTAAGACGCGAAAGTGTTAGTAACAAAAAAAGAACGTCGCCGCCGAGTACAAAAGAGCAATTTGTACTAAGTCGACACGCTATTTTAGATCTTAATATTTTACCATTACATTGATTTTTAGTCTACTCACAATACTATTCGAAACGATTGCAATGCCGAAAGGTAGAAAGTCGATATACTATTTTGGACCTTAATGCTTTTTCATTAGGTTGATTTATGATTTATGGTCTACTCACGGTACCTACTTTTCGGAAGGATTATGGTGAAATATGGTTTAAGATATTTATTTCGCTAAACAATATTACCATTCGCTTTTTTGACAGAAAAAAATATTTACTAGTTGCAGTATAAAAGTATACGAACATGATGAGTTATTCTAAGCTTGAAAACAAAAACATAAAAAATGTGCTCACAAGAGTCGCCCGGGAAACAGTTTCATTTTGTATCGAACTTATTATATTTAAAATTAAACAAAATATTATAAAATAATAGATACATAAAATAGGCAATATGCATGTTAGTAAAATAAGTTTAATTTATTAGGAACTTAAGACACTTACCTCACTTAAATCTTCAGGTAATGATTCAGATTCCGAAAATTCATCATCGTCGACGCTTTCCAAAATCCGAATGAGTTCCAAGGAATCGTTCATGTTGCACTGCACTAATTTTCCCGCTAATCGCTTATGACGTCATCAGCGTGTCGTCTATACTTGACCACGGCGCCCAGTGAACTGATTTTCGATGTCGCGCTAAGGATGCGCCAGAGTTGAGATATTAGATTTATTATGCGAAGATAATTTGATAATTTTTTTTTATTCATGTAGCTAATTATAGTTTTATATTTCTAACCTTTTTGTTTTATTTAAATATCAATAATAATAGAAAAAAAAAACACGTTTGAGCTTAATTTTGAATGGTTTTCAATAAATTTATGCCTAACGCATTACAACACTAGCGGTCAAACATAGACGACTTTGGCGTGCTGGACATAGTATTTTCTTAGATAAAAATCCATTTTTTTTGGTTCAATGTTTCTTAGTACTTGTGGCTCTAGGAGACTTGTTTTTTATACTCACATGTTGCTGGGTTATTCTTTTTTGAGGGGTGTAGAATTAAAATACCAGTAATAATTTTCCAATGTCTATATTTCATATTTTTGTGGGCCGGGTTTTTTGTCAACTATAGACGTCGTTGGCGCTCAGGGCCCGCGGGTGCTGGTCACGTATAGACGACTTTGGCGCTCAAAAGGTTAATAAAATTCAGTCCGCCTTATTTTACACGGCCATGTTAATAGAACTAATCCATGATTTCATAAAATCATGCCATCTAGCGTCTAATGTACATACTACCTTGAGAGTAAATCAAAGGATAATAGCGAAAAATATTGATGGAATTATTAAGCATTAACCTAACGATGACACCGTTACAGATATCAATAAAATAATTTACTATGTTTTATCGAATCAAGCTTATGGCCTATCGAAATCTGGAAAAAATCATCATACCAAACCGATGTGAATTTTAACAACATCAAACAAACATGGCTACATATACGTTGTCAACTAAGATGGAATATCCCACAGCCTGTAATTATACATAATACATAAGGTAAATGTCGAAATTTTATGTTATAAAAGTTCAATTTCTGAAAAACTCGCAAATTCTGAAAATGCCGCGATTAATCGAAAATCGATCTTTTAAATCTCTACTGTAGTGTGTTCGATTCGAATCGATTCAGAGATCGATTTTTTTAAGTGTGAATCGACATGCCTACAATGAGTTGTGTTGATCCACTTTATACCTCGGTCCAGTGTACCCCAACTTCCTAATAACATTTCAAGTGTGCACACTGCACACCCGTAGTTAAGTTTCGGGAACAGCGATGAATCTTTTTCAAAAGCAACGAGTTTGTCTCGTTAACATTTAATTACTATTTCAAAACTAATTCAGTACAATACTGCCTTCCTTCACTAGGTGATGTAATTCCTTTGATGAGAACTATAATTAATATTATTCTCAATGCAACGGCTTTTATAGAATGACCG